TATAAACATTTATGTAAGAACACTTTTTTATTGCATTTTAATTAGTATTTATTCTTGTTTTTATTGTAAACTGCCCAGAGTTGCTCTTTGGGTGAGATGGGCGGTGACTAAATTTGAAATATAAATAAATAGATAGACAGCGTTCTTTAATCTACAATATATATTTTTAAATAGATTGGAATGCTTCCATGATTAATACTTTTATATAGCACTTAGAATTAGTTGTCTTGAACACTGGCTTCTGAGAATAATGTTTTCTTTAAGATTTCTGAGCTGATACAAGTGCAAATTTTAATTTACTATAATTTTAATGGAACATATTGAAAGTATATAATTGGTTGATTGTAGAATAATTGGATATATACAGTCATTGTAAGAACAAGAATATAACTGATACACAGTATCGGAATGGTTGTATTTGTATCGAACTGAGCAGATAATCTCAATTCAGAGCGGGAAAAGGATGTTTTGTGGATATGCTAGTCTCCTAATTAATTACATTCTTCTTTTTGAAGTTTGCTCATTATAAGGATATACAAATTCTTCCCAAAAGACGGATTACGTAGGGCAAAGGAATCCAGGCCAGCGATGGCTCACCAGATGCAACTGGATATAGCTGATTAGTTGGATGGGGGTGAGCTGTATATCCTAATGAGGATTCCTACCTGTATTTAACTGCAATTATTAAACGTATAAGTACAAGGATTTCAATCTGGAAAGGGGAAAGGTTTCATTACTTAGCAATTGTTTCCAATGGATACAAGCAGAATGGACCAATTGTATTCCTCTTTCTGTCCCAGCTACCTTCAAAGTAGGTTTTGCTTGCCTTTACAGATATTACCATACGGTCAAATCTGACTACATGATGCTGTGTTGGGATTTGATTATTTTTACAGTGTGATCACTAATTGTGGAGAACACGTATTTCTCTCTCCCTCTTTCTGTTGATCATGCGCATATGAACAGTCTTAAATTACAGCTAAGCCAGAGGAGAACGCTGATTTAGAAAAGTGATGACAATATAATATTTCCCCTCAAAAGTTGTAGCAGTTCATGGATATGCAGCAGTTTAGTTTCAAAGGAAAAACAGTGTTTCAGATAGCACATAGGAATGCACAAGGATATGTAGGCAACTCTTTAAACCAAAGATGCTTTTACTCAGGATTACATTGCAGCTGCAGATGGCAGACCTGTGATTCTTGAGTAAGAAAACAGTTGCTTTAAGGAGTTGATCCCAGGTGCTACATGAAGCTCCCCATGTGTTTTGAACCACCTTTTCCCTTTGAATCCAAAATGCTGCACTCCTAGTTACTTCTGTATCAAATAATGTAGTTGCCTTTGATATGTTACAGTGCTCTCTTGACTCAGAGTATTCTGAGGGTTCTGGGTTCAGATTGATGTTATTTCTAGAAGTGAGATCTTCTTAGCTGAAAATCTTGGGGTTGAACATGGGATCATCTCTATGGGCTCAAACCAACCACTTTTTCAGTGGTTAACATGTTTATGTGGAGGAACAATATATGTTATTTTGAGCAGTGTGCAAGATGGGAAGCAGATGAAGCTAACTCTGCAACATGTGTTCTGTAGCATGTGGATGTGTTTCAGTGAATACAGCTGGTTATGGTAGTTGACTTCAGGGCTATTTTAGCGGTAGTGGTATTATTGTGCATCTGATAGTCTGGAAACTATTATTATGTGAATTCTTAATTACAGGATAACTTCATCTTTGATCTAAATGTTAATGTCTCTAATCATTTCTTTAGCTCTTTCATTTTAAGCAGAAGTAATACTGTTTACTTTGCAAATTGCTTAATGTTTATTAAATAAACTACTCTTCATCCTTGCAGATATCAAGAGTGGTTATAACTTCCTTAAGATCCCTCCTAATAACATCAAGGTTTATCATGTTTGTCATAAGAAGTAATTTCTGTAATTGTGAGGTTTTGGTTTTTGTTTTGATACTGCAGGAATGGAACGAGCAGCAAAAGTGTGTCAGTACATTTTTTTTTCTGTGTACAATTTCCTTACCTAGAGATAGCTGGAAGTATACGCAGTTTGAATATGTGAATGAGTCTGTTCTTGGCAGCTGATTTTTATTCTGTTTTGAATAAATGTATGAAGCTATAAGGATCTGAAAGCCTCTGAAGTTATAATAATATATTGTATAGGATCTTTTGTTTCTTTTGTATTATAATGAGAAATAATTTACAATTCAAAATTGTTTTTTTCTGACATCTTTCAAATTAAAACCAGCTATTAACTCCCTGAAGTTGGTGGACTCTTTCTAAAGACCAAAGAAATAGTATTTGTTTTTAATAAAGCATATGTTTTGAATTACTTGCCTTTTAGATCATATTTGCAAGTCACTGAGTTTTCTTCTCATATTTTCTTGCTTGTGCATTCTCAAGCTTATAAATGAAAATGTTTGTTGGTGTAATTACTTTAAGGAGGAATTATCAAAGTAGGCAAATACTAATTTTGCTGGTTCATTACAATAAATATATGACATTTTTTTCCAAGTGGAAGATTAATTAAATGCTGTCATTTCATCCTAAACAAACACATGAACTTACTGTATGTATAACTCATAAAGAGCATTGAATATATTCTGAACTAGTTATTTTTTTTTTCCATCCTCCAGGCCAGTTATGGAGAATTAGGAAAAAGTTCTTATGGACTTGCTCCTTCCTTCACATGTTTGTCTAAATGGATAATGACCTAGTTTGATACCCCATAATACACATTATATCTGAACTGTTTGCCAAACCAAATTATAAACCGAAGTTCAGTTTGTTTGATTATAACCCATTGTGCTTGGGTGGCTTATTATCAGATAATTGTGCTTGAAGTTGCAGCCACAGACATGCTGTAACGTCTATATACACAGTCAAAACCCAAACTCTGAACCACTTCTGGAAATAAGAAACCAACCGTTTTCTCCACTTTGGCAAATTCCTCTGGAACAGCCAACACTCAAGTCCAAATTGGGCATGTTTACAAGTTGTTAATTTGAGAAATGGGAAGCATGAAAGAACTCTGGCACCGATTCTGGCAGGTGCAGCAAGGAAAGGTGCCGAGGTTGTTGATCTGCTTTGAGCTGTGCCATGTGGAAAGATGGTTAGTCAGCAAAATGAACCAGTTCTCATTTTATTCCTCCACTGCTTATATTGCGACAATGGCTAAGAATAAGCAGCAAAGCAGCAAAAATATTGCATTTTTGGTTTGATGTATTATTTAATCCTAATTCCTATATAGAGCCTGCCTAAATAAATAACCTACAAACAAATAAATGGAAACTGTCTGCCCATTTCATTGCATCCTACCAAATTGTTAGTGTTTTATCTTTTGTAGCTACTTGTTAATTTGCTATTGAAACATGATATGTTATCAATCAGTTGTGCAGTATGGTGGCCCTTTACATTTCTATTCCTTCTGTGGCCATAGAATAGGGAGAGGAAGCCCCAGGGTGGGGTGGGGTGGGGTGGGAGGGTAGTTGATAACAACCTCTCTTGACATCAGCAACTTGGCAAAATATATGCTTTTTCTTCCGTATTTGCTCAATAAGTAAAAAACTGTGCTGAAGGAGGTAGTTCATTGTACCTGAGAAGATGATGGAAATGATAGTAAAATCTTGGCTTACCAAATTCTTATAACAGAATAAAAACTGCTGAGTTTTCACTATGGTTTGGAATAATTCCATCTGTGGGTTTTCCCTGTGGAGGCCCAAAAGCTTCTTAGAGCTTTGAAAAAGATAGAACAGTTTCTGCTGCTTGGAAAAGAACTTCTGGGCATGCATTGAGGACAACCGCAGCACTTTCCTGCCTTGTTTCTTCAGACTGTTCAACAACTTTCTGTCTCAACTTCTATCTTTGGGAGAGTGATGGAAGATGACCCTAGTTAAAAAAGAGGGTCATTGTCTCTGTATAACTCAGGACTTTTGAACTGTGTGTAGGGGTGTGTGTGTGGGACAGGGCGGGGCGGGTGAATATAAGTGCTACAGTCAGTTGAATGTAATCCCTGGGAGAGAGGGGACAATTGTTTCATGGAGAGATCCATGTGGTTGGGTCCACTAATCTGCATGTTCACACACACTCTTGCCTGCAGCATGGGAAAGCAGTTCCCAAGCTGGATGTATGAGAAAACAGTTCTGTGCCACAACTCCCCACAAGTTTTGGGGATTATATCCATTCCTTCCATCCTTTTAAGGCAAGTATCCCAATTTAGATATAATGCTAAACAAAGCCTGGACAGAGATCTCTTGGTTTTCTTTGTCATTCTCAGTGGCACGAAAAGCCACCAGCGTATATCTTCTTTCCACAAATTCTACTTTTAAAAATTTAAATGTGGTGGGTGGAGTTTTTTGGGGGGGGTTGCCTTTTTTTAAAAAAACACTTACTCAAGATCAAAATTCTTTAAAATGTTTACTAGAAAGTATACATTTGAATACTTTGAAATAATTTAAATGTCACTTAGCAACATTTTAATGAATGCTTAAATAATTTTCCTATTTTTTTTTTCTCTTACTAAAGGTTCGGCATCGATGGTGTGAGATTATTATTAAACACAAATACATGGCAGGGTATGCTGATGTTGAGAAATTCCTCAAGGAAGACCAGGTCAGTACTGTTTATGCACACATTCTGTATTGCCAAATGCTACACAAATACACAGTATAGATACATTTGAAATGATCCTGAAAAAGCTTCCACCAATATAAACCCTGCTCTCCATTCAAACTTGTGCTAATAGTATGACTAAGGGAACACTATTGTGGCCCCGAGATTGCATCCTAGGAGCTTGACAGAGATTGGATCTCTTGTTCTGGGGGTGGAGAAATCCAACCTCAGATTGGAGATTCAGCTTCGGAAAGCTCCTGCTAGCCCCTGTTGAATTTTCTTCAGCTTTTATTCTGTCAGTGGTGCCCACTGGAGGAGGGATCTTAATATTATAGAGAGAAATACAAATTAAAACAAAGGGCAGAATCAGCACTTCTGATATTATATTTTTCACATAATTAGACCACTTACCAGGATTGTCAGAGGCATTAATCAATTGCTATAAACTCTACAGTAGCTTTAAGTATTCACCACAAGTATTAAAGTGCAAGATAAACAGTTGTGTATTTTAAAAATGTGTGTGGAGATTTATTTTGTTCTGCTTTATGCTAAGAAAGCCTATCCATCGTTGTGTTTTTATGAATCTTCTGGAAGAAAGTTATGCAAACTCTGGAATGATAACATTTGAAATCAAACCAGTTTCTTTATGTGCCTGTCTTGAAATATGACTTAGTTCTTCAAAAGTCTGAACCAAATGCAAATATGACCAGTTAGCATTTAAGATAACAGAATTTCCAGTATAGACTAAACTTGGATGTTTGAGCTATGGAAAATGATGGTGAAATAATCAAATCGGAATGGGAATTCTCAGTGGTGGACTTCACGATTCATTTTGGCAGTAAGTGGTAGATTCTTAGAATCCTACTATAGAGTTGATAATGTCCATTCAATTTAAATCCTATATGCTGGCTTATTTCTATTTATAATGCAGAGTTCCCTTCCATGAAAAAAGTTTGTGTGGTTTAGCAATGGGTGCATGACAGGAAGGATTAGGCTCACCCATTTCTCTTTCTTCTTTCTTCCTACCTAGCTGTGAAAAAGATTTTGCTAATGTATACTTTTAGTTTCTGAAACTCCTGTATTCTTGATTTAAGGTGAAACTGGGCTTCTTTGGGGCTGAAAATAATACAAAGGCCTTCTCCTTATTGTGCAAAAGAAAGCATATTGTTTCTAGCGGAAAGAGGATAAAAATAGTTTTAAAAAACAGTGTAGGTTGTCTAAGTGTACAAAGTACACCCACAATCACAGGTTTTTAAAAGTCTGGCATTATGGAAAATGAAAGACAAATTTAACTTGGAAGAGTATTTCCCAGCTAGGTTCTCTCTCCTGAGAAAAAACTCCCCTTGGTAAACTATCCCCTTTCATTTGGAGAAGACTCTTGAGAACCTATAAGATATTAAAGTTCAAGTCAGTAGAAAGTATTTTCATATAGCCTGGTTTCATGTGTAGCTCTCAAGGTTATAATTAGTAAACTATTATCCATTACTGTCTGTCATAATTGTTAAGTACTTATGATTGTGAGTTCTGTAACTATCCATTGCTTTTTGTCTCCAAAACTGTCTTCATTTTCATTGTTTTAGTCTATATTTTCATACTTTACTCTTTGTTTTCCCCAATCCCTCATTTTCTTAGGATCCAGTTCAAAATAATATAGAACTGTGGCTCTTGTGTACTTTTTAAAAACGGTTATGGGGAGGGAGGAAGAGAAGCAGGTGAGTCTGCACTGTGTAGAAGAGAGGATTAGGAGTTTTCTTCATGCTACTGTTGGCACCGAGGAAAACACGCAGACCTCCCCCTCAAGTGCTGCTTTAGTTACAAATGAGAAAACAGTGAGCAAAACTTGTGTGTTCCTTCTGTGGTCTAATTTGAGCATTTCCAACTTTGGAAATCGTCTTTCCGTAAAAAGCGGGATGTCTTCTCAGTGGTTCAGATATCAGAATCTTTTCTCCTGAGTCTGGGTGAAAGAAGCCCACCCAGTATTCTGAAGAACCCTAATCTAGTTGAATGCTATCACAGTTAAATCCTGCTGAAACCTGTAAAATTAACTGGTTATAACTGACTTAAATTCCCATTGCCTTCACTGGGACCAAATTGCCTCTGTTTCTCTCGCATTGAGATAAATTAATTTTTGTTTCCTATCTGTTTAATACATTGCATTTTGTTCTCTTCCACATCAAGCTGTACCTTTTAGTAAATGCTGTGTCCCCAGAATTTTTTCAAGGAATGATTCCAGCCAATTAAGATTTCACCCATATATTATATATGAGGGTTCTTATGAAAGGTTATTAAATATCTTGTTGTCTTATCACTTGGTTTGGGGACATACTTTTGAAATGTCACAATACCTTGGAATAGTTTGGAACTTTCTCTTGTGAAATAACATCACATACTAAATTGGCTGGTCCTGCTCATGCAGCTGCTTGTGGAACCTCCAGGTCATATTCAGAGAGGGAATGGTTTCAGTGAGGAAGTAAATGTCCATTGTTCAAGCAGAAACCCACTTGCTTACTTGGGTTCTGCTTAGAGATCGTTACATTTCAGTTTTGCTTGTGTTGTGGAAGAAATGACAGGTTTTGGCTGTATTGTGCTAAAGTCTTACAAATAATTTTAATGATAGGAAAAAAGGTGTCTTTTTAAAATTACAAAGGTGTTATAACTGTTATTTTGAAAGTATCACCAAATTAATATATGCTATAGGATGACTTTCTTCCTCTTACAGGCAATGGGTGTCTACCTCTATGGAGAATTAATGTTGAATGAGGATGCAAAACAACAAGAAATTGCATATAAAACTTTTGCTGTAATCCGTGACCACATGGATGCATCCTCAGCTAAAGTAGTAGCAGAAATGTTATTTGCCAAGGTGATTTTTTTTTTTCAGATAACTTAGCTGGCTGCTTTTAAAGGAACAGCAACAGTCCCACAAAAGCTTATGAATGAATGAAAAGAACAAATTGATGTTATCAGATCTATTGTATCAAATCATTTAAAGGAAACAGCGGAATAACCATGAATGGGTAAAAAGGTTTTTGATGTAGTTGCTATAGTATTGGAAAAGAAAAAAAAACTTCTTCAAATTATCTTTATCAGTGAGCAAGTGTGCTTGTTTGTTTGTTTGCCTGAATTGACCAATGGTCTTTTCAAGAAAAAAGACAGTTCCAATTATCTATCTCTTAGGTCTTTGTAAGAGGATGCAGCAACAAGTCATATGGAAGATACGTAAGATTATATAGAAAGCTTCAACGTGGACTGGGATCATTTACAAGCGATCTAGTTCTTTCCTCATAGTTGCTAGAATCTTTGCTAGAGAGTCTATTCAACTAAAAACAAAACAAAGCAAAACCTCTTGAAATGCATGTGTCTCTGCAGGTATATGCATTTTTTGAATTTTTTTCAGCACAGAATATGCCAACTTTTTACTGCATCCTTTTTAACTTTGTAAAACATGAAGTATAACAGTTCCAATGCCAACTTTGACGGGGTAGGGGCATCTTAGGAAAAAAGCAACGTTTTGAATATCAAAAATCAGTTCCCAATACTTAACAAATATATAATGAACAACTTTGGTACTGTCATAAGACAAATTTAACTATAAAATACTTTCCACATCTCTTTGACTTCTGGGATGTGATTTTATAATGCGTGTATGGAGTAATTGAAATGGCCTGCATTCTGTAGGTGCAGGTTGGAGTTGTCTCAGGTATGGAATTTTAATGTATGCCAAATGGAATGGCCAGGATTATGAAATTGCCTGTGTAAATCTCCTTCAGGAGACAAGGGTGTCATCAATTCTGTGACTTGGTTTGTAATTCTGTAACCGTTGAGCATCTTATTTCATGTAGAATGAAAGGAACTGACATGGCATCTTGCAATTTAATACTTCGGTAGCGTCTTTGGTTTTACTTTCTTCAAAAGGGAATATAAAATTTTAAAGGGTTCACTGTGTGTCTAAGTGAGCTCTCATCTGGTTTTAGAATAATTCAATAATCTTCATTCAAGATGGTTAATTCACTTGTATACCATTCTAATTGTTTCTAGAGCTAATCTATAGCTGATCTAGTATATTCTAACATGTAAATGAAATAAATGTAAAAGCTGTGTTTTTTTAAGTCTCCAGTTCTCTGGACAAAATTATTATTACAGCTGACAGTTTGTACAGATTTCATTCCTGTTTTGGTTGTTTGGGTTCCTGGCATGCTGATTTGTGATTTAAGATTAAAATCACATTGCCAGGGATTACCACATAACCATGACATTACCTTCTATGGCTTAATTCATAATGATGGTCTCTTCTTGGAACCTGCTACCCTTAGAATGTACAGACAAGCTACTGAAGGACTTCAGCTGCTCTTTAAGCTATGTTCAGATGAAGACCTCTCTAGTGAGGTGCAGAGCTTAGCTGATTGGTGAACAGTGATTGATTTCCTCTTTGTTCACAGTGGCTAAGTTCTGCACCTGAAGAGAAGTTGAGATGGAAACCTTTCCTAAAATTTCAGAGTCTGATTGCTCCTGCAGTGATTTTATCATAGCAAATATTTTCACGGAATCTAGTTTGCAGGTTATAAACAATGAAGATGCCACCCAAAGTCCCAAGCTCTGCATGCTGCCTTCCATCAAGAATGAAAAGAACCTGTATGGGAAAAAATCCAGGTTTAGTTACAGTATAGAAGTAACCAACAGTTATAAAGGAAGTGTGTTATATTGGTTTTCATAGCAGTTAGATACTAATGCAGTGTGTCAGCCCGAGAACCTGTGTCAACCGCAGTAGCATTTTGTACATTTATCTTTTAAAGGGAATCAACATTTAAGCATCCAAGCTGCAAGTTAACAGAGTAATTCCGGCCGTTTTTAATAAATGCTCTTTTCTTTTTGTTGGTATGGGAGCTGCCCCGTGCAGCACTTGCTGTTCCAGGCTGTTGATGGACCCGTCCTCCGGTGCCTACTGAGCTGATATCAGTTCTGATTTTACATACTGGCTCAGTTCAGCAGGAACAGGAGTCGAGCCCTAAAGCAAAAAATAAAAAATAAAAAAATTTTAAAAAATCCTTTTCTGAGTACACAGATGTCGATGAAAACTAATGTTTATTTCAAAGCTAGAACAGACTGATACTTTGATGGGAAGCACAAATCTTTATGTGGGCTACACAGCCACAGTCCTGTAGAAAACACAATGAGTAATCTCTTGACTGCTTCATTCTGCCACTGTTTTCGGAAAGGATAGTTATGAACTTTTTTGTTGTTGTGTCCAGGATATATATTGTAAGGAAACAACTGTGATAGCTGCATAGTTAAAACTTCCTTACACCATTCTGGTGTGACTCTTCCTTTGTGTTATGGAACACCACAGCCTGCTGCCTTCTCAAATTGCACAGAAGCTGACAGGAAACCTGATAGTCGCATGACATCAAGTTACAGATGCTGCCATTCTTTCCCACTGCATGCATTCAAGAACAAAATAGGGTGACAGAGACGCCATCTTAAGAAGTAGGACTGTAAAGAATAGTCATCCCACTTAGGACTAACATATTGTATGCATTCTTTTTTTAAAGTATTGTTTCATTGCAATAGAGTAATAAGTTTTACCACTGTTTCCCTTGCAGGAAAGGCAGAGACTTTAACTATATCTGCTACCAAATGCTGGTGGTATTAGGATTTCTTTGATTCTGGACATCAAAGGGAGGATTATGTGACTGCTAAAACAATCAGCTGAAAAACATTTTATGCAGAGTGCTTCTCTTTCTAGAGGGTGACAGAAGCCAGGAGGAAAAAGTCCTTCATCCCCCTCATGCAAACCACACAATAAGATACAATTATGATTATGAAGCCAAGGCCAAAAAGAAAAGAAATATACAGTGAGCTAAACCTTTCAGTTAAGTGAGCATTATATGCTAATTTAAACTGAACCCAGTGTGTTTTGCTTAATTAAAATAAAATGAAGATTACAGTGATTTTTTTTCTTGTTGTTCAAGGCCCTAACTCAGTCGCACTATGAGCATAACATTAACCATAAGCAATACCAGGGTGAAATATTGCTCTCTCCTATGCCTAATGCTGACCAGTATAGTTTCATTCAAAGAAATATGATGCAATCTCAATAATCTTTGAATTGGTACCAGTCCCTACTTTGTAAAACATGTCTTAGAAATAAACTGATTTTATAAACATTGTGACTTGATCGTTTTTATTGCATGAGACATTATGTTAACTCTGTGTCTGTGTGCGCGCACGCATGTGTATATTTGTCTCCAGATGTCAGCGGATGTACTAATGAGTTAAAAATCTGCAGCCATGCCCTTGTTAGCTATGTTGGGAGAGACACTCAATTACTCATGCACGTACCCAGCCAGAGGTACTCTCTTCACCCTCCTTTTGCCTCTCAAACCAAAATAATGCTTCTAAATTTTAATTAGCTGAATTAAACTGTTAGCAGTCCTAGGTTCAGCTCTGCAGACATCTGGAGCCTGCCTGGCCCCCTGCTGAGCTACAGCAGTGGCTCTTAATGTAGATCTTTTGATGTATTCAAGAAAGGATCCAAACTATTCTTGAAAGAAGTTGTGCTCTATTTCACAGCCTTTTGCAAAGGATAATGAAGGAAGAGCATCTCATCATTTTGCTATGCCATTGTGAAAGATACAGGGGCTGAGTAAGGGAATTCAGAAAGTAAAACACTGCAGAGGAAACAGCTATTGCCTTGTGATGTAAACTATATTAATTTGATTGTTTGTCAAATTTAAAAGGCTGTCCAACTCCATAAAGACTCTGGATGAACAAGAACAACCCATTAAGTCTAAGAAGAGAATATTCCACATCCAGAAGAAATATTCAACATTTGGTAAATGTCAGAGTACATTTTACATTCAAGCATTTTTCTTAAATGTGCCTCCACTTCCCTCACTACACCCGTTTTAAAAAAAAAAAACCTCTGTTGTCCTGTCTGGATGTTGCTAATTAATTCCCTTTAATGTCAAAGACCATCAGACAAGCATAGTTTTGAGTACAAAGTAGCAATTATTTCACGCTTAGGATCAATTAATGGATCTAAGCTTAGAACAGAGAACTTGAATGCCAATGACATCTCCTTCCTTTGCTTGGTATTTTAATTCCTTTACATATATTGCATTTTGTGTTCTGGATAAGAACTCATTATGATGGCTTTTGTTTGACATAAGACTATATAGTCTACCTTCATATAATGTATGAAGAATATATAATTAAAAGTACAGATGGTGTTTAATGCTTTTGAGTGTGGACCTGTGCTATCTGACCTAATACATGAAAAATGTGTGACAATGCCCGCCCACATTCTTATTCCAAAGAATAATGTAGGAACATACAAGAGTGCAGACATAGTTTTTCGCCCATTCTCCTAATGCTATGATGATGAAGCTGATTTCATTTCTATAGTATTCTTCCTCCCAAAAGGAGCCCAAAGCGGTCTGATGGATTCATTATGGCTGTCAAGTTGGCATCGACTCTTGGAGACCACATATATAGATTTTCTCCATGACAGACTGCCCTTAATCTGGTGCTTCAGACTTTCTAACAGATGTACCCATCGCCACTGTAACTGAGTCCATCCACCTTGCTGCTGGTTGTCCTCTTCTCTTTCTTTCCACCTTTCCCAGCATTAAAGCCTTCTCCAGGGAGCTAGGCCTTCACATAATATAGCCAAAGTAGGATGATTTGAGCCTGGTTATTATTTTTTCATTAGCCAGTTAAACAGAAATATGATTAAAAACAAAAGAGAGGCTTAATGTGGATAGGATAAACGCCAAACCTTTAGCAGTTCTGTGAATGATTTCTTCTTTCAATGCTTTATTATTGCTTAAAACAAAACGATTGTTTAGGAAGAAATCAACTACTGAGATTGCTGCTTGCCAAGTGAAAGCAATCCAAGATTGGTTAGGTTGCTTGTGGGTCGGCAGGATGGCAACAGGGATGGAAGACTTCAGTCACAGCTATGGTGTCTGTACAAAAGTGGCCATTAAAAGGATCTAGTCAGTCAGAGTACACTTAAGCCCTTCAGAAAGCAGCTGAAGGGCTTTTAACACCTTTTAGAGACTCAGACAGTTGGTTGAAGGAACACAGCCAGAAAAAGCAAGGGAAACTTTTCTGGCATTTGGTCTTAAATGGACCACCCCAGTGCAAATTCCCAGAATCAATGTTAAGATAGCATTTAAAATTGCAACTATGAGCATGTCTCTTAAAATTAAAAAAAGGAGGGAGCAGTCAAACTTTCAGGCATTAAGCAGCTTGATCGGATTTAAACGGCGCCATGTTGATGTGACTCTGAATTAGGAGCACCTGAGGTACCTGCTAATAGGCTGTTTTTCTAACCTAACGCTGCAATCAAAAAATGCACCTTCAGTCCAGGCTCCACAGGTGTAGTTGCAAGAAATAATATTTTCTAAAATGGAAGGAAAAAAAGATTGCTATAATCAGTACTTTGAAATGAATGAGCTCCCCAGAAGATGATGTTGGAATACACTAACATGCTGAATGCATGCAATTCTACAAGTCACTTAATTTGTTTGCAGGAGTGGGAGGAGCAGCTCCTAATTTGGCAAAGATGTTACGTAGCCTGAGAGGCAAAGAGAAAGCCCTGCATTTCACATAGCAATGATCAGTCTGAGAAACTTTTCCTAGGTTTAAAGGGCTAATTGCCAGAACACAGAACAACTTTAAGGCTTTATGCAAATTAGAGATCCAGAACATCACACTCATATCATTTTTTAAATTCAGGCACCAATTACATAGTGCAAAGGGCAGAATGGCCAGTTTGTATACAACAGCTCAGTAACCAAATCCTGATATAGCTCATGTTAACCATGTATCATGTCTAATGTCTGTGGACACACTTTTTCTCCTGCTTGTTTTTGGAACTCAACCCACCCCTCAAAAAACATGTTGACATAAGAATTCCATTATTCCTATGTAGGAGACTTCAACGAAAGCCTTCAAAGGAAACTTAAAAATCCAAATGCATAGTTTCCAGGAAATATGCTCCTCTTGTACATTACAAAAAAATGAGAGGTTTCCAAACAAAATTTCTATTTATGAGATTGAGATGAGATTCTTAAGTTGCAAATTGGGAGACATCATGACTTTTTATCCATATAAGTATACAAACCTTTAATAGCAGCCTGTGAGAGAGGTCCACTATGAAGGAGGAATTTTTTAAAAAATCAATTTTTAAATTGCTCAAGTCTTTCCTTGGCAGTGTTCAAAGGAGTTCTGCAGCTCAAGAAAGGTCTGTGGTCCATGTAGCCCCAGGAAAGGAAAATACATTTGCTGAGTAATGCCACTTTAGCAAAATATGATATTTGCTTCCTGTTGAAGAAAAACAAGTTAGAAGAAACACAAGTAGGTGTTTGGTCACTGATCTAATGGAAACACTTACTTCAAAAGGAATCACTAATAATCATGTGCTTGTAATGGGGCTTAGATGCCACAAAGTGGTATAGCAGAAATAAGCTGTTTGATTGGATTGTAAATGATAGCATCAATAAAGCATGCTACTTTTTAAACATTCTCTCACAAAGTAAAGAAAGAACTCCATCAATGCTCAAAGATTAAGTTTATTTGCATTAAATTATATAGATTATATATCTTTGGCACACTTACATTTTGTTTTTAGCTTTACAATGCACCTCTGAATAAACTTGAACAAGATACTTCTGCAAATGCAGAAAAATCAGATGAAAGTCAATAATATGTAGATTGCAAATAACAGATTTCTCTTCCCGACTCTTTCAGAAAATGCCCATTGAAAACAGCTGCCTTCTCTCCTTCCACTCCACAGTTCTGAATAAGTACTAAACTCCACATTGGAATTCCTGGAGCAAATCATTTGCTAGCTTTACAGAGCATTGGTATTTCACTCCAAGTTGGCTAGCTGTATTTGAGATATGGGTAAGAAGTCCAGTTACTTCTGGGATTTCACAGCCTCCAGCTATAAACTGAAAGAAGTTGGGGAAAAAATACAACAAAGATTAAAATGTTATTACTTTATTCCATAGGCAAATAATTTGCTGTTCTCTAGCATGCTAGATAGTTCACAGATATTCTTACCAACCATAAGAGAAAGCAAAACATTCTAAGAGCTCATCCACTCCAAAAAGGACCAAAAAATGGGAAAGCGTATTAATGATTTCTAAAGCCAATGGAGGCAAATATGTGTAGCTCAGGGTTGAATTGTGGAGTCCTTGGGGTTCTCTGAGCTTGGTCCTTTTCCTGCAAATGTTTCATTACCCGGCTAGGTAACATCTTCAGTGTAAATATTTTCAAGAGCTGAGCAGCAGCAGCAAAGTGCCTAAGCAAAGGGTCTTACTGAAATTAAATCCCAGTGAAGGTTGAAAGAAAAGTACATGAGCTTTGTCCCTTTAGTCAAAACCACTGTTAATTGTTTAGAACTGCTAGATCAGAACATTCTGATCTAGCCCTATCCAAGTATTACATTTTGTATCTCCACCACCCTGCCCAAGATTCTCATTGCATTCTGAATCAGGTGCTCTTATGAAGGAGGATTCAAGGGATCAGTTGTTCCATTGCCAGTATCTGAAAGGGGAAAAGAAAGAAGCTTCCTGTGCAATTGATTTATTTTGCTGCCCTCTTACTCTGTCTTTGCTATATTCTTAGAAATCCAATATACCAACTTCAATAGCTCTTCTTAATTAAACACCTGTATTTATAAACTGGAACACTCAACTGAACCCCCATAGCTCACTGCATATAAGAGGCCTCCAGCTTCAATCTCTGGAATCTCTAATTTAGAAGAATAGTCAACATTTTTACCAAAGGGACCAGTTGGACTAATTGTCTAAGGTAGTGAAAGTAAGATGATTCCCTTCATTTTTGCAGGATAAATTGAAATGTTGAGGATTCTTACTATCACAATCCTTAGACTGATGATTTGGCCTGTCTACACCAAGAGGGTTACTGATCATTCATCATGATCAGGAAGGAAAAACTGGTCTTAGAAACATATAACTTATGTTGAAGATTGCAAGCAGTGGCTCTATTTGAGTTTTCAATGAGATCCTTAAGAAAAAAAAAATCTTTATTTTCTTCTTTTTCTGTTTAGTCACAAATCTAACAAGGGCATATAGCCTTAGAAACAATTCCATCAAGAGAAGTAATTCCATATTATTTAAAATGAATTTTAATCTTCTGATATAACTCCATTTTTTTCCCCTCCAATCAAAACAAAAAGAACTCAACTCTTGCTCAAGAATGGACTCTGACTGATTCAGTAAGTGTTATTTGAGGGTCCAAATGAAGGCTTCTGGACAAAAATCTTGCTGGGGGATAGAGATCCTGCGTGTCTATCCAGGGAAAGGCCCTAAAAAAGGCCATTGTCTCTCTTGAAAGAAATGATACAATGGTGGCCAAAGGCAGACAGATAAATGATACTAGAATGATTGAAACTCCTCTTGCAAATGTGTTCTTCAAACAGATTCCCTCCCTCCCTCTCTCCCTCCTTCCCCATCCATCCATCCATCCATCCATATATATGCCACCAATTTCCTAGCTCACAGTAGCTTACATCACATTAAAGTACAATAAAATAATATTTTGTGGGTTGACTCATATTTGGACCTGTTATGGAAAAAACTAGCCTTTCTTGTAACCAAGTCTTTGATCCATGATAGGGCAGGCTTGATTCTCAGATAAAACTGGGGATGGAAACCTTGCTCTTCTATGCAAGGTAGAAAAGGGTCCCTCTTACTTCAGCCCAACTCTGACAGACACCACTCTTAATGAGAAAATCGGCTTTGTAATTATTCTGTTTTTTATGAACCTCTTCTTTATGTGCATGGACACAGATACTGTACATACACTGATCAATGAAAGGGCTTAACGGGGAAGGAGGAAAAAAATAAACTATATAATGTGGCAGAGAGGTTCTGATGTGCACCCATATATCTTGCATACACAGTACCTTCTTAATTCACAATTTGCCCTAGCTTACACTCCAAAAATGCTGGATTACAGTTCCCCTCATCTCTGACCCATGATCACTGTCTGGAGTGATGGGAGCTCTAGCCAAACACATTAAGAAAGCACCATGTGGGAAGACTGAGTCATTCATAAGTGACTCATTTTTTTCAGTACAGGATTTGTAATATTTTGCTATTAGGGAAAAAAACTTACATATGCAATCAGTTCTCTGGCTATTGTGCGTCCATTAGGAATAAATAGCACAAAGCTGATAATCAGATGCATAACAATATGTTTAGTTACAGGTTGATTTACACTGGTTTTGCTGCTGAATAAAGTTTGTAGGTCTGCAACAGAGATGGTTGGCATTCTTGAGAGGCTCGTCAGATAGTCACATACAGATCTAGCTTCTACCTGTTGACAATCATGGGAAGGAATAAAGGGTTAGCTGAAGAATAAAAGTCACATTCATTTCGTGAAATTTGCAGAACAGTATAGAATGGATTCCAAGGCTGATAACAGGGGAAGTAACGGAGTGGGGAAAGGAAAGAGACTGTGGACCAGAAAAGGAAAGACACAAAAGAAGACTAAAAAAAATGATCTCTTTAATCTTGAAAAACAAAGCACTGCAGGCCATGATCCAGGATTTGACCTTTTTTTGTTGTTGTTGTATAAAAGGAAATGGCAAAAGCCACAGAGCAGAATGAAGGTAGATTGTTATATTGTGGGAAAAAGAACAGGAGGTTCTTTGAGGGCTTGCTACAATACTACAACTACAAATCAATTAAACTCTATGCAATCTGACCTCATCTGATAAAAAATTCTGATAGGAATCCAGGGGGTTGGCTTCCTTCTAGTATTGTTTTCAACAGAGTCTCCCTCCCCTCCTTTTTTTACCTCTTTAAGCAGCCAGAACAAACAGCTTCTGGAGCCAAAAGAGAAGCAGAATTTGATGGTCTGTGCATTAAAGGAAATTATTGGCCAGATATAAGTAATATAACCTAAAATATTTACTACATAAAAGCCATGGCAGGGATGGAAAAGAAATAAAAAGTAATATGCACATTTCCTGCCTTCTAGCCTTAACTTTTATTTTAAGCAACTGATTTCCTTATTCTCACCTTTATTTATATAAATATATACCCTGGTTTAAATATCTGTATCTCAAAGTTACTTTCCAAAACACAATCCACTCCTTCTCTATTGTGAATCACTATATAGTACTGCATGAAACTGTGCCCCAAGTAGAATATTCTACTTGGGGCACAGTTTCATGCAGTACTATATAGTGATTCACAATAGAGAAGGAGTGGATTGTGTTTTGGAAAGTAACTTTGAGATACAGATATTTAAACCAGGGTATATATTTATATATGTAAATAGAAGTATATAAAAAAAAAACACATTTATCCTAGCTACAATCTGACACAGACTCTTCCAGATGGGTGAATTTCCATTCTCTGAATTCTCAGCAGTGGCTATATTAGCAGGAGAACTATGAGAGTTGAAAGCGATATACCTGATGGGCACCCAGGTTGGAGAAGGCTACCATAGGCCACTTGTCACGGTATTCAACTAGAATCTCCCTCAACTTCTGAAATTGTGCCTCCAAAAAAATCTTGAGTTTCCATAAACCAATGCTGGCCAAATGACCCTCAGAATAGCATGGTTAATATTGAACATTAGAAAAAGGTCAGGCAAAACACTCTTAGACAGACTGTCTACTAAGGCAACTAAAAAAGTCAGATTCCTACCCAGATCTGAGGAGAGATGAAGGTGAAACCCCAGATATCTGCCTCATCCAAAACCACTAGCCTCCTTAAGTAGGACAGAATACAACCATGTTGCACAGAAACATTCATGGTTATCTCAATATCAATTATTCATAACACCAACATTTTTATATACCTAAAAGAAAAAGGATTAAGCACACATGTACGTTTCAGCTCCCTGATAATCCTGGCTCACAGGATAGGAATTAACAATGGCATTGAAGATGGAATATAATTATTGATTTTCTCTATAAAATATTAGGGGGACGCGGTGGCGCAGCAGCTTAATGACACTGAAAGTTGCCGGCCAGAAATGGTCGACGCTTCAGCGGTTCGAGTCCAGCCTTCGCGTTAGCA